GTTTGATTTAACTTAGCTTTTGTTTCTATGAGTATTTTTCTACTTAAAACCCTTGTGTAATTCCGTATATTTTGTTTCCATGTACATCCTGAGTACACCTCTTTCATCAAACTATTCATATTATTGCGTAACTCTTCTTTGACAATCGTTTGTGACAACTCATCACTTTTGTTACTACTCTCTTATATCAACATCCAATTCATCTGAACTAACTAATTGTATTTTCGTTTGACAAATGTAATGTACATACAAACATACAAAACACCCATATATATTTGTGATTGTACAGCTATGAAAATGAATTCGCCGAAAAGAGACTCTTCACTGAACTACTTGTCTTCTGTCTATTAAATCTAGAGGAATCATTATTTCAACTACAGGCATCATGAATGAGAACGTGAAAGCAAGTCAGGATTGGAAACGCGAGACAGGCCTCTAATTAGTCTGATATCAATTTGGAGAGCTACTGCACTCAGCACAACGAAGAGCATCTGAATTTTCAACCCTAATGTCAAGCCACTACATCTATATGGTTCAGAGAATTCATGTGTGAGTCAAGAAAGGCATATCATTAATTGCTGCCTTCACTAGATCAATTCTGAAGATCAGAGCACTGACTGGCTAGAAAGAATAAGCAACAAGAAACTCTTGAAGGCAATGAACCAACCAAGAACTTATTATTATTGTTTCCTTTAATTCCTAGAGGAACATAGGGCTTCAGCCGAGGGTCTCCATTGCGTTCAGTTCTCTGCTAGAGTCTTCACCTGGCTCCAAGTCTGCCCACACGTTTTCATCTCCTCTTCACATGACCTCCTCCAAGTCACCCTTGCACTGACGACCAACTCGCCGCTTCTCTTTCGGGTTCCATTCGAGTAATGGCTTGTCTAGTGATGTCAATTTATGGTTTGTTTCCTCAGAGTATTGCCAATCCATCTCCATTTCTTCCTGCTTATCTGTTGCACAATCGGTTCCTGGTTGGTTCGCTCATTGCCAGAGATCTCTGTTTCTGATCTTTTCTGGCCAGCCACCTGACCCTGAGTAGAATTGAGCGTAGACAGTTGTTAATGAAGGTCTGTAGTTTGTGTTGATGTGCTCTTTATGACGCGCTGGCCAAGTCTCTGATCCGCATAGTGAGTAGCACTGACTTCACATTGGAGTTGAAAACCTGCATGTTATTTTTAATGCTGAGTGCTGTTGACCTCCACACAGACTTGAGAGTAGTGAAAGCTTGTCTTGCTTTCTCGATCCTCACTTTAATATCCTCGTCAGTTCCGTCCGCCTGTAGTTGAAACGATGCTTCCCAGGTAGGTAAAGGAGGTTGTTTCTTTCATATTCCTCCAATTTATGCTGATTGTTGTCTGTTGTTATTGTCGTTGCTTTTGGTGTTGTCCAAGAGTCTTCATCATTCCGTAAGTTTCCCGTTGTGTATTACTTGGCATGCAGCAATGTTACTACCTGACAAATATTTGGAGGGAATTAGAGATGGGCTTGACACACTCTGCGGAGACATCACACGCTAAACAGGTCCTCGAGTGGAATCTAGATGGGAACAACAAGTTAGGTGTCTAAGAGTGACAAAGAGGAGAAAATAGTTTATGGACAGTTGTGAAGTAACCTGGAAACTTCTACAAAGAACGGAGTGAAATGAGGATGTGCTGTTGAAGAATAATAATAATAATACAAAGTTTCCAGGACGAATCAAGATGAGTGCTCTCTTGACATTTACTTGTAAAATCTTTAAGTGTAGAAATGAATTCGATAGGTTTTTACGTTTAACAACACCTCACGCGTAAGTGTACCTAAATGGTATGGAAGAGCAACAGTGTGAGCTCTGAAAAATAGCACTTTCTGCTTTCTGTCCACTAAGACATTCAACCTTTTCAGAAGGGACAGTCTAGACAGATTTCGTATTGAACCCATTTCACAAAACACCATGCGGTATACCAAAATTGTTCCATACTAGTATAAAACTCTTCAACAATGTGCATGTTCAACCTCTTAAGGACCTTTATGTTGTAAGACAAGCAGGTATATCAATCAGCCGCCGTATTGGAGTGGTATGTGACTTTTATTCTGCTCTCAGTTTCGGGACATGACACTAAAACCTAGAAATCGAACAAATCTCTATAGACTCAAATTGTGAATGTTGAATCCACTGCTTATTATTACTGTTATTGTTCCCTGAGTCGCAGAGTGGAACATGGGGCTTCAACAATAGATTTTCATTTAACTCTGTCTCACGATCGCTCATAAGCCTTCATTCTCTCATGCTCACATGATCTCCTTCCATGTCATCTTCACACACACACACACCCAACACATCGTTTTCGATTAGCGTTTCACTGAAGAGCTTGCTTGGTTCATGATGTCACACAGAGGTCTCCTCAAAGTCTCTTTAGTCTATGTTGACTTTCTTCGACGTATTTGTTGGATAACTGGGTCTCAGTTGGTTCGTTATCAGCATTGCCTGTTAATTATCCTTCTTTCTGGCCAACCATCTGATCTTGAGAACCAGTTGGAAATGTTTCAGGTGATGTTGACCTAGTCCCTCTGAGACATATTGGAGCACTGGCTTGATCTTCTTCTTCGTTGTGTTGAGTGCAGCCGATTTCTATACTGATTTCAGAGAGTAATGAAGATTTGTATTGCCTTTCTAATCCTAACTGGCTTTGACTTTCTCAACCATGCCGTCTGTAGCTGAAATTATACTGACTAGATTAGTAGAAGAGCTGACTTATTAGTGACCAATTTTCAAACAGATTTCCGGTAGTCCCAGTGAGAACTCTATCTAGATTGGTGAATTTCATGAAGTTTAGTTTGAAAATAGTTAGTTAACGTTTGATATTGGTTGCCAACAGCAACAGCAACAAAAACAACAGACAAGAATCAGCCAGCATAAACGGGAGAAGTTTGAAAGAAGCAACCTCCTTTACCTACCTACGTACCTACGTACAGACGGACAGAACTGATGAGGATATCAAAGCGAGGATCGGAAAAGCAAGGCAAGCTTTCATTTCTCTCAAGTATGTGGGGAGATCAACAGCACTCAGCACGAAAATGAAAACAATATTCGGATTTTCAACTCCAGTGTGAAGTGAGTTCTACTTTATGGATCAGAGACTTGGCGCCTCGTCACGAAGAGCACTTCGAGCAAACCACAGCCTTTCGTCAACAGCTGTCTTTACTCAATACTACTCAAGATCAGATTGCTGGTCAGAAAAGATCAACAACAGAGAGGGATCTCTGTCAATGAACCAACGAACCAACCCAGAAGGAAATAATTGTGCAACAAATATGCAGGAAGAAATGGAGGTGGATTGGATTAGCCATACTCTGAGAAAACAAACCATCACCAAGTGACATCCATCACAAGCCAGGCCATCGCTCAAGTGGAACCCGAATGGGAAGTGGCAAGTTAGTTAGTCATCACTGCGATGGTGACATGGAGGAGGAGGTCATGAGGGGAGAGGAGGTGAAAGCATGTGGGCAGACATGGAGCCAGGTGATGAAAACGTTGGCGGAGAACCGAACGCAGTGGAGGCGTGCGGCTGAAGCCATATGTTCCTCTAGGAACTAAAGGAAACAATAATAATATACTAATAAATTGGTTACCAATGGTTTTATGTCGCTAAATCACAGAGGTTAACATTCCAAAGCCTACTAACTGGTTGGTGAACCTCTTATCTTCAAGCATTGGTTTACAGGGATTTGACTGATTTCAGAGTTTGGTCATGAAGCGACTTCAGTTAGAGAACCCTTCAAAATCAGGAAGTGCTATACAACTATTCCTTCCTTATTTGGGATTCTTAAGCAGCAAGTACTCATAATCACACCAGGGATCTAAGTCAGACCCCTCGGGTTACAAGGAGAGTTTGTTGACCATCCAGACACCGGGACGGAATCCAATTGCCTGTAAATTCTAACCGCTGTTAATTCACGTTATGGAATGAGACCGCCCGCCACTGTTGTCGCTTAGTATTTGTCTTCCCATCCGTCTTAATCGACTCTGCTGGTCACTAATCCTCACTAGAATTGCAGGCGACTTCATTGTGTTGTCAGTCATCAGTAAACACCAGATTTTTCAGTGTTAGTTTCCGGAGTGGATGGGAAATTTGACTGATTTCAATTTTGATTATAAAGAGTCCCAAACAAGGACGAAACATTGCTGTCTGATACTCCCAGCTGGTTCTCAGTGGTTCACTAACTGCTGTGTCCATTCGTGATCAAACTTAAAACGCCTTATGACCTTAAAACCTTCAGGTCTTGACTTGGATGCTTGGTAGTGGATGAATGTACCGTGGTGAGACGAAGTCTCTATGATATGCTTTACGATTTTTAGTAGGATTCTAACGGATACTGATTGATTCATGAGATCTGTACTGAACACACACACACACACACAGTGGTCACTAAGATGCATCAAGTATGATTTGAAAAAAACGAAGACCCTGTTTCGTTTTTTACCCACAACCCCTGATTACATTTTATTTTGATGAAAAAATAAACAAAATAAAAAATCTGAGCTGTTTTGTGTTTTTTGAGTTGACCTTTTGATGAAGTTTAAGGTCTTTATTTTATCTGACCGACTCTGAATTATTCAGTGTATTGTCAGCCATTCTATGTGTCTGTCTATCCATCTACCTACAATATATCGATCCATCTTTCATTCTCTCTCGCTCTATCTATCTATCTATCTATCTACCGGTCTTTTCGCTCTGCCTCTCTACCCTATACCACTAAACTTCTCTCTTTGGCTTAACTCTATTAGACCGTGTATACACTTCACTAACCAACCAAATTCACTCTAAACTTCGTCCTTCACTAGACTTATCGATTAGTGTGAAGAAGCGAAGTAATTTTAATCGACCAACCAAAGTTTAGCCTTAGAAAAGAAGACTAACTAACTTAACTAAGCGCGCACACATACACACACACACACTAATTCTCTCACTAACTAACTAGGCTAAGCTATTTAGCTATCTATTTAGCTAGCTAACTAATAGCTAGCTATCTGTCTATCTTTTAGTTAGAATTAACTAGCATTTTTGCCTTTTTTTTTCAACCACTTTTTACCACTACTATTCTCATTTTTCAACTAGTCTATAGACAGACGGATTAAACGTTGACGCCTTGTGGTGTATTCTCTGACCGATATACAGCCGAGTTTTTTTTTAAATTATTTGGAGGCTAACACAAGAAGAAAAAAAATAATCCCGTCTATACACAATCACAACAAGCGGGAGAATGTCACAATTCCAGCCTATTTCACTTGGTCAAACAGTTCAGATACCATCTCAACAACAACAGCAACAAATTCTACAACAGCAAAATCAATGTCAACAGTATCAACTGGAACCGTGTGATATTAAACCACAATTCTCGTTAATACCAAATGTATCACAGAATTTAACTAACAACAACAACAACAGTGGTAATAACATGAATATATCTCAAAGTGGTATAGGTAACTTTGGTGCTTTAATGACAACATTAGATACTGTAGTCAGTGGGATGAATAACAATAATAATAATAACAATAACACAGGCGGTGGGCAAGCAGGACAATTCGCTACACCGATGAATCACACGGATGTCGCCTCACTTCTAATGAATCCAAGTAAACGTGCTGAAACATTTGTCATTGATGAAGTCAAAGTTATGTTAAAAGAGATCGAGGCAAGAAAGCATATCCTACTGTCATTATCACCGTCGACAAATCGTTTAAAACGTCGTGCATGGGAAGATGTAGCTATGTCTATGGCAGCTCGATGGCCTCATGCACCGAGAAGAACAGCTGATCAAGTAAGTCATGAAGTCACGTGATTTTTTTGTGTGTGATTCTTTTAACTGCCAGTTGTGTAATGTTTAGTGTTGTTAGTCATCCTAGTTGAGTAGTGAATATGGAAAAGGTATTCAAGTCGTTTCTTAGCTGTCCTTATCCATGTTTGAGTTTTCTTCGGCGATCGGATAGCTCTGAAGGTTACTGAGAAGATCTTCGAAACTTCAAAGGTGATAGCAAAATGCCACATCACTTAGAGAACTATTGAAAAGCAATAAATAGTTCTGAGGAGCCATTTCGTCCCAGTTTGGAGCTCTTCACCAACAGTACGTAAGTACCCATAATCCCACTGCAGGAGATCGAACTCAGGACCTTCAGACGGTGGTTGAATACTCGATGAGCTTTCTTGGAAAGCAGAAGGCTCTGAGAGTTCGATCCTTGCAGGTAGGATTATGCATCCGTACTGTTGATGAAGAGTCCCAAACAAGGTTCGTGGGGAATTTTTAAACCAAATCTGAAATCTCTGGAAAACTAACATTTGACAATTATGTGAAAATAATAAAGCTTTAGACAAAGCCAGTCAAGTTATAAAAGACTGTATTGAAGGTCAAAATTAACAATGGAGATCAATAAATCAACGAAGGAGATATCATAGTACCTCTGTCTTCGTATCAAGACCAAACTTACCAAGGATACCTTTAATGTAGTGACAGATTGTATTTTTCGCGCACATAAAGGTATTTTATATTTTCTAATTGCTTGAACTTCCAAACACATTCCGTAGATAGGTTGAAAAGAGGTGAAAACATTGAATATTTTTGTTTGTGGATGGTGACTAGCAGTGGAATCCAGGATAACGCGCATTTCGTCCTATTTGGGACTCGTCTCCCAGCTGGATGTACCTGCATTTCCCAGTGAATGATGATGTTCCCACCACTGAGGCTCGAACCCAGTGTCCATAGTTTCAAACGCCAAAGCTAGTCATCAGAAATCGTCGAATCATCTGTACAAGAAGCCGACATGTCAACCTGAGACCGAGCACTTCGGTCCAATCAATCAATCAATGGACGGGAAAATCGAAAATTCAATTAAATTGATTATTTTTCCTTGTATGCGTAATTTACTTCATAATGGAAGAGCTGGGTCATGTGTTTTCACCATTATTAAGTCCAGGGGGTTCGATTTGTTTATGAAGCCCTTACTTTCAATGGGCCAATGAGTCCACCTTATATATGTGTAGCACATAAATGAACGTAAATGGAAGTTGATAGATACTATGGGATGGGATATCATTTCCAATCCATTTCAATTTTGTTTTCTGCATAATTGTTGGGCAATATCTTCTTGGTTGTTGCCGGTCAGAGTTCCATGTTGTTCATCCTTTCTGACCATCTGATCTCCAGCTGGGAGCCAGCGAAGGTAGCTTTTGATAGAAGTCTGAAGGCTGTTCAAAATGCTAACTAAATAACCTTGGTAAAATAAAGAATTAAAGAGGATTTGTGCGAAACTCATGAGTTCCAGATCAATATTACTGTGTAAATTTGTGAGAAGCACTGAAGAAACAGTTCCACCCAATCTTTTAGGAGACAACTAGACACTAGTAACTCATTATAATCCTTTTTGAAGCGGGATTGAGGAGTCTGTTGAAATCGAATGAGTAATTTTTCTTTTGAAACGCCATTCATTTTATCATATAGC